GCTCCCAGATCCAATGCACCAGCATTTTTCATGTAGCTCAGAATTGAATTCGCTTTTTTTTAGCAGCTGCATCACAGCAAGCTGGCATTCCACAGGCTTCGCGAAGCCAGCGGGCGGGCAGGTGAACTCCAAAAGGGGCACTGAGCTGGGGTTTCTGCAGACCCCACAGTTGGCAGTGGCTTTGCAGGCCTGTCGGGCCCCAGGGTTTCTTGTGATTCAGAGCCCGGCTTGGGGGATGTGCTCAGGCCCCAGTGGGGCTAGGGGTCAGGCAGGTGAGTCTCAAGTGGTGGAAGCGGTGGGGTGGACTCTGTCCTAGATGGGCCCGCATCAGGGGGCATCAGGGCAGCCGGAGAGGTAAGGCTGGAGGGGGCGATGGGGAAGGTTCTTCAATCGTGCCAGGCCTTGAATTGGCAAAGAGCCCCTCACACCCCAGATTCTGCTCTGGCTGACTTCTGACCTCCAAAATACGAGATAATGATTGTGTGCTTTTTCTGAGTGGACCAGAGGACTTATGGGCCCACTGATTGTGGAGCCCTCTGCCCCCCTATTGGCCTTTCTCACACTCCTCACTCCTGGGCCTGGGCCCTAAGCTCCAGACGGGACCCCTGGTGCCTTCCTGGGTGGCCTCTGCTCCTACTCTTCCCACTGCCTGAGCCCACAGACCCCCAGAGAGGACCCCAGAGCCAGAGTGCAGAGTCCAAATCCAGCTCTGTTGGGTGATCTTGGCGGCGGGGTTGGGGGTGGGGCACCACCCTCCCCGAGGCTCAGCACCCTCCCCGGGTAACAAGGGTGGCGTGCATCTACCCTACTGGGTTCCGAGGGTGTTATGAGAAATAATGTCTGTAAAACTATCCAAATAATGTCTTCGTCACGGTGTCTGATGGTGTCAATGCTTACCAGTCGTCCTCTTCTGATTCCTATCTTTGGGTCATGTTCAAATGCCTCCTCCACCTGAGCTGTGCCCTCTGGTCCCAGACAGCCCTGGCATCCCATGGACCAAGGTGGATGGTGTGATCACCTATGATGACAGCATAGTCACTGACATTCACTGGGCTCTTATTCTGAGCCAGGTGCTGGCTGAGTGTTTCATGCAGACACACGGCGACTGTCAGTCTCACGTCCGAGCCCTCCAGCCTCTCTCATACAGCAGGCGCCCTACAGCCCCTCTGCAAACGACTGCAAGCCACGCTCCAACCAAAGGATGGTGCATTTCTTAGGAATAGTTTGGCCACAAATCAAAGGAAACCTCAAATAACCATGGCTTTAAGAAGATGGAAATTTCTTTCTCACTGTAGGAGGCTTCATGATGCCAGGGCCCAGGTCTCTCCTATCTTGTTTTTCCTATGTCTAGAGTTGCCCCTGTGTTCCAAAGTGGCAGCTGGAACTCCAGTCATCACATCTACCATCCAGTCAGCAAAAAGAGGTGGGGCAAAGAAGGGCATGCCCCCTTCTTTACTTAAGTTGTACACATCACTTTGTGCTCACATCCCACTGGCCAGAACTTAGTCACATGGCCACACTTAGCTGCAAGGGAGGCTAGGAAATGTAGTTTAGGCTGCAGAGCCCACATCTGGCAGGGTACACCTCCACCAACTCCCCAGGGATTCACAGCCACTAAACCTCAGCCTCGGGAGACTCGATGTGGACTCCCTCAGACTTTCCTGGCAGGGCCCTAACATCGGGGATCTGGGGAACTTGGCAAACACCCAACCCTGTGTTTCCTAGAACTCGGGGCTCATGTGCTGAGCAAGCACCAAGGACAGACCTGATGTCCCATCTTTCTCCAGGCCGGCGGTGGCCTCGGGTTCCTCTGGCTCAAGATCATGTTTGTGGCATGCCTCATTGCCTGTCTGCAGTCTTGACCAAACAATTAGAAAAGGGCTCTCAGATTTCTTCAAATGAGCAGAAGGAAAGAAAGAATCAAAACTAAAATATGTTTCTCTTGGAAAACCCAGGGGTGATTTCGAAATCGGGTGATGTAGGAAGTCAGGAAGGGGTTGGAGTAGTTGCTATCTGAGTCTACCAAACAGAGAAAAACCCAGGAGCACTACTGAGAGAGGGCCCTGGAGGATGGTAAGAGGGGTTCTGGGGAGGAGGACTCATGAGTCACGGGGTCAAGTCCCGCCTTGGCTGCAGGATGCTGTGTGACCTTGGGCAGGTCACTTCCCCTCTCTGAATCTCAGATTCTTATCTGTATAATGAGAGGGTGGGACCAAGTGTCCTCCCATCTCTGCTGCCCTGGGGATCAATTCCACATCCCGGAACACCCTGCGCTCTGACCCTGTGTAGCTTTCTGATAAGTAGAAAGTCCTCAGCCTGTAGCTCAGGCTGCCTGGGGAACCGTGGCTCCTGGAGTCCAGCCCCAGCTCCACGTGAAGGGGCCTCTCTCCTCTATTCTTTCTCATCTGCTGGACTCCTGGCAGCACAAATGTTTCCTGAACAGGAAAGCCTTGTTCCCTCCCAGGCAAGGAGAAGGCAATTTAGGAGCAATTAGCAGCTCCCCAGGAGAAGAGACACAGGGAAGGATGGTGGGAAAGTAAAACCCTAAGATGCATCTTATTCATATATTTTACAAAGCTTCCCCCCCTAATTACAGAAAGCCCAAAAACATGGGTAGAAAGTGTGGATGGAAAAGCCAATAACCCACATCCAGAGATGCCCCTTAGTTACACCGGGGTGCATGTCCTTACCATCCGTTTGGTAAATAATTTATACCATTTCGTGATTTCTACATATCACAGCCATGCCTGGTTTCTTACCAACTCTGTATTGGTCTAATCTTTGTTATTTTTTTCGGCTTTTTGTTAAGAAAGATTTCAAGTACACAGAACAGTGGGGAATATAGGACATTATACATTGTGTACCCACAGTCTCAGTTCAGATACCGCGAACGTTTGCCAGTCGGCAGCCTTATTCTTGTGGTCGTATATATTCCATGACAGCACTTGTACTCGGACCTGGTCAGTTACCGAGCAAACATTTACGAAGTGGCTACTCTGTGCGCAGCGGTCTCCTAGGCACGGGGACCACACCAGGGAGCAATAGTCCGGCATTTGTGGAGTGGATATTCAGTGGGGAATCTTTGAGATCACGGAGCCATCAGCCAGCAGGCGAAGTGGAATTTCTAACATGCAGCCAGCCTTCCTGGGAGCTCAGGGCACCCTTGAGATGTGTGAAGGTTCCCTCTGGGGACTTTTGACCCATCAGTTTGAGGCCCATTTCCTCAGTAGGAGGGAGTCACCAGGGCCTCCCCCAGCCAGTGGGAAACCAGTGCCAAGTGGTCCAAGGCTTTTATCAGCCACATCTCCCCAACAGCCACCAGCCATGGGTAGGATGTGACCACGGCAGGGCCCAGCCCAGTGGCCCCCCAAGGCTGACCACATGGCTTAGCATTTCACAGTCCAAAGCCAACAAACAGGAAGGGCCACAGGAGAGGCAAAAATGAACTCACAAAAAGGGGTTGATCCCATTAAGAAAACAGTGCCGGACTGTGGATTTTCTTTATTTTGGTGCTCAAGTGTCTCTTGTGCAAAACGTCAGTGGTTGTGAGTGGCATTTTTTAAAATGTCCTCACTTGGCAAAACGAAGAGTTGGCAACCCTTTGTTGGCTCCCAAAACGGGGAAAGAGGAAAACGACTAGCCTGTGATACTGAAGAGCTGGGAACCACCATCTGGTGCACCTCTCACACTCGCAGAGGGTGGGAACAGCCAAGGCCTACATCAGGCTGTGGTGACCGTTTGCACCTCTCTGACCTGCAGTTTGACTTTCTCCCTGTCCAGCCTGTCCCCGTGTCCAAAGGCCCCATGCTCGAGGGGGAGGGGCAGCATCACCTGGGAGAAGGTGAGCCACTGGCGTCAGTGAGGGAGAGGGGTCAGGACGCTCAGGGCTGCTGGGGGTAAGGTTCCCTGGGACATGTGACACGTGCACCTGTCTCCCAGCCCTCTAAACAAGGAAACGAAGGCACAGAACGGGGTGGGGTCTGTGCCCGAGGAGATCGGAGCTGGGCCCCAAAGTCTCTGCCTTCCCTCCGCTCAGAGTCCTGATTTCACCCATTAGGAAAATTTAAACATAGTTATTTGGGGAAATTGATGCAGATAAAATGCCTTTTTATTTGGCCAAGCCAGAAACATTTTTAAAAAGCCTCCAAAATGAAGAGAGTCCCTGTCACAGCATTTTATTCCAGGAAAAACACTGTAACACACACACACACACACAGATGACCTCGGGGGTGGGTGCCAGCTGTCCTCTCATGCTGACACATTCTAAACGCTCAGCATCCTTATTTTGCTTTTCTGTTTTGAGTTCCCGTTGGCCTAGGACTCCTAGCTTACCTTTGGGGGACAACCTCAGCCAAACTGCTTGGTTTGAATCTCAGCTCCTCTGCGCCCCAGCCCAGAGGCTGTGGCAAAGGTCTTACCTGCCCCGGCCTCAGTTTTCTCATCTGTGAAGTGGGAACAGTAAGACAGGGCTTTGACAGGGTCTGGTGCATGGTGACTAGTCCGGAAATGGCAGCCGCTTTGATTCCCGGTCCTGGAGCAGGGGCCTGGCTGGGCTCAGCACCGCGGGGAGGAGGGGGAGTGAGAGCGAGGAAAGTGGGAGGGCGTCCAAGATCAGCTCTGCTGACTTCAGGCTCCACTGAAGCCAGGGCCACCATCCAAGCCGCCTCCATCAGAGGCACCGAAGGGTGACCGCCCCTCAGGCTCCCTGATTCCACAAGGACAACTCAGCCTCTTCCCCGGGGCCGCACAGAACTTTTTCCTCTAAACAATAAGCGTGGAGCTCCTGTGCTTCCTCCCTCACAGGGCGGCATCGCACATCCGCTGCGTTTGGCGGAGGTGGACACTGCAGAGGCCAAGGTGCGGGGGCCGGGCCCGTCTGGGAGCAGAACTGCAGTGGTGGGGGTGGGGGAACCGAGACCAGGTCCCTCCCAGGGCGGTCACTTTGAGTGTGCCATCCAGCCCGGCGGGGCCTGCAGTGACACGTTAATCAGAACGTGATGAGAACATGGAAATTTCCACTGGATGCCAGTTTGGGTTTGGTTCCTTGGACTTCTGAGTGATAAAAAGTCTTTAAAGCAGTTGTGCAGTCAGGATTTGTGTTCACATGTGGGCGCTGAGGGTGGTCATAAAGTCATCCATTCATTCAACACAATTCTTACTGAGCGACTGCTCTGGGTTGTGGGCCGGGGGACCACGATGGACAAGTCAGGTGTGTGCCCCGACTTCCTAGAGTCTCAGTCTAGAGGGAGCCCCCAGTTAAACAGGGGCATGGCAGCCCCGTGGGCAGTGAAGACTGTGTTCAGATGATCTGGCAGAAGAGGGAATTAAGAGTTAAGAGCCCCCACTGGGATGGCTACTAGCAAAAAGATGGACAGTCACAAGTGTTGGTGAGGATGCAGAGAAATCAGAACCCAGGGAATGGAAACCAGCTGCCTGGGGAGATGGCCTGGCAGTTCCTCAAAAGGTTAAACATAGAGTGAGCATGTGACCCAGTCATTCCACTCTAGGTCTCTCCCCAAGACAAATGAAAACGCCCACACAAAAACGAGTACACAAATGTTCACAGCAGCACTATTCACAACAGCCAAAAAGTGGAAACAACCCAAGTGTCCATCAACGGATGAATGAATAAACAAAATGTGTCCCTCCGTGCACTGGGAGATTATTCAGCCCTAAAAAGGAATGAAGCCCAGGCTAGGACGTGGATGAACCTTGAAACACTGTACTTGTGAGAGAAGCCAGTTGCAAAAGACCCACGTATTGTATGATTCCACTCAGATGAAATGTCAAAAGTAGGAAGGTTCATGGAGACGGCAAGTAGATTGGTGTTTGCCGAGGTGGGGGGTAGGAAGTAGTGGGGTGACACTAAAGGAAATAGGGTTTCTTTTGGGGGTGGTGAAAATGCTCTGGAATTACACAGTGGTGATGGTTACATACCCTTGCGAATATTTTTTTTTAAACTGCTGAATTGTACATTTTAAAATTGTGAATTGTATTGTATATGAATTCTGTCTCCATTTAAAAAGAAGCATAGAGAAGGGCTGGGAAATGGGAGATTTCAATCTTTCATGGATCTCTCCACCTGTAAGTCCTGGAAAGTATATAGAATATTCATTCCTTTTAAATTTTCTGGGTTTTCAAAGGCCACATAGCTGTGGCCCCTTCTTCAAGATCTCTTTTGCTCTGGGTTATTTCTGTGGCCTGGGCTGTCCAGGGAAGGTACTGGCACATTCTGAGCACTTACTGTGCTCAGAAAAGACAGGTACATTAGAAGCAGCAAGGATGTCTGTCTTTCCTTTGGAGATCTAAACACCATTCAAATCCTCTGTGCTTCAAAGCCAGCCCTTGGTGGACCTTCTCAGTTTAAATGTATAGCCTTTTAATGAAAAGGAACAGAGAGGGGACTGCCAGATACTGTTGGGCAGGTTGTTCACTGTGCAAGCAGCATTTATTGAACATTTACTATACACCAGAAACCATACTGAGCTTATTTGCTATAATGAACTTTGTTTAATTTTCACACTCACCCTTGGGTGAGAGTTGTTATCCTCAGTTTATGAAGGCAGGAGCCTTGGGAAGATTCGTGATTCCCCCGAATTCATGCTCTTTTCACAGTTGTACCGGGAGGGATGCAACTATGGCAGGAGCCTGGCCTTCCTGCAAAGCAGGGCCTACCTGACTCCTGGGAGGAGCCAGGAGTTCTCCACCACCCAGTGAGTGCAGGGAGCCTGAGGTCTGTCCAGAGCTGGCCTTGGCTGGCGGAAGTGCAGTGGTTAGACATGTGCACCAGAGGTCAGCAGGACCTGGGTTCAACCTTGCCGGTTCTGTTCTTGTGCAAGTTGTTTAATGTCTCTGGTCCAGAATCCTGTGCTGGTCCATTAGTCCATCGGGGCAGGGGCCCAGCTGTCCTGTTTGTAGCAGTACCTGGTGCCTGGGACAATGCCTGGCAGGGATAATATTTTTAATATTTTTTTGAACAAATGAGTGAATGAATGAATGAATGAATGAGTGCTACTTAGTGCCAGGGTCTGGGCCGAGACTGCAGGATGGGCCTCTGGAATTCACCAGACCCCTCATAGAGGAGGCCATAGCCCCCAGGTGCCCCATCCTGGCAGAGGTCGGGTTCTCCATGGGTGGTCCTGCGCTGGGGTGTGATCAGCACAAAACCCAGAAAACATGCTGGAGGGGCCCCTACGTGGCGGGGGAGTGCTGGCCTCTCCTCTTTGGGCCTTGCCGGCGCCGTGACCTTCCGCACCTGGCCCCGTCCATCTCACTGGCTGCCCTGGGCCGCCAGGGAGCTCGTGGCTGCCCGGCTTGCCTTTCACACAGAGAGGGGACCTTCTCCGTCTGCTCAGCCTCACCGGGGCTTTCCTCCCCAGCTCTCAAGTTACATTCCATTCACAAAAACAATCTAGATCTTAAGACATGCGAGCGCATTATAAGGGGAAAAGCGAGGTGGAAAAATGTGGTCAGGGAGCAAGCGAGCTGGGACTGGGGCACAGGAAATGGCTGCGCCGCCCCCCTTCCACCCACCCACACACATGCCAGCTGGGGAGCCTTTCCATCTGCTGTGTGGGCTTCTCGGCTCCAGCTGCCCATGCTGTGGAGGGGGCAGGGGCTGAGCTGGAGAGGCAGAGACATTCGTGAAGGCCCTCACCAGCAACTGTTCCGGTCTTTTTTCTCCACCAGGGCTGCCCGGTACTGTTGGGCAGGTTGCTCACTCTGCAGCAGGACCTGGCTGTGTCCAGTAAGTCCCGTGCCCTGGCTCTGTCGCCCAGCAGGGAAGCTTTTCCTCACACACACACAAAGGCACTCATGGGCTAGTGGTCTTGGTTCCTGTATCTTTACTTCTAAGATGCCTAAAACAGAACTTTGCTAAGTGTGATCCCCCACCCTTCACTCTGAGACTCTCCATGGCTCCCACTGACCCACAGTATAAAGATTAAAAGAAGATGATTAGCATTCACATATCCTGACCATTCACTATGTGCCCAGACTGCGCTAAGGTATTTTGTCTGCAACGCCTCTTTCCCCATCACACACAATCTTTATATTACGAAGCATAAGACACATACGGAAAACTACACAAAACATGTATGTACTATCTAACAATTTATAAGCACTTTTAACCCTCACAGCAGCCCCATGAGGTAGTCACTATTACCTTCCCATTTTCCAGATGAGGACACTGAGATACAGAGGGTAGGTTGTAGGCCTGGGACCACACAGCAAATGGGAGAGGTAGGATTTGCACCCAGGCCTCTGGTTGCAGAAACCCACAGGGTTCGTGCTCCCCTGTCTCAGTGACACCCTGCGAGGGCTTCTCTCATTGTGCCCATTTTCCAGATGGGACACTGAGGTCCAGAGGGCTCAATTGCTTGTCCAGGGCTCGAGCGAGGCCCAGTGTGGAGGAGGCCACACTTATACCACACACAGTACCCTTGCACACAGTAGGTGCTGAATAAATGCCTATGTGAGTGAGGCTTGGGTGCATTCAAGTGCGCCAGCGCCCAGCCCCTCTCCAGGCAGTTTTGTGAGAGGCAGTGGGGGTGGGGTAGAGAAGGCTGCATTCCCTGGGATGCCGGCTCAGACACGGAGTCCTATGGTGGGGGGGCCTTCACCCCTTCTGGTGCTCCCCGCCAAATATCTTTGTGCCCAGAAGAGGCTCGTTTGAGGACAGAGTCCCAAGGTTGCCAGCCTTTGCTTCCCCCAGCCACTGGTGCAGCAGGAGCCTCACCTGCACCCTCCTTGCCCCGTGCGCTCTGCACACAGTAGGACATGAATGGACTGGAATTCCAAACAGCATGATCTCTGCTGCTGGGAGAACCAGCGTTCAACTGTCAGCTTGAGACCTTAGTGTCCTCACCTGCAGAATGGGGTGAACACCTTGCCCTTGGGTCTGCGGTGCGGCTTGAACCACCTCCTCTCCGCGGCCCTCCGGGGTGTGTGCTGGTGCGCGCAGTGGCTGTTTTCTCCCTGTCTTCAGCCGGCAGGGCAGGGGCCGAGCCTGGGCACAGGCAGACCTGTGGCTTAAACAAAACCAAGGGCTGCTGTTCACATGAAATCCTTATCCACGGGGCCCCACAAGGCTAATTCCTGTTCAGGATTTTTTTTCCTGTTGCATCTGTCGGTATCATAAATACTTGCAAGAGGAAGAAAAAAAAAATTCCCCCAGACTTTACGTCAACACAAACAGCCCTAATTGGTCCTGGAGCCTCATAATTCTCAGATTGTCTTGACCGCGTGTATCTAGGAAATTCACAGCAGCAAAGGTGAAGGGTGTTTTCATTTGTAAATTGAAGTGGAGGCTTTGTCTTCAGCTGAAATTTGGCTCCAGCCCCTCCTCGCCTTGGGGCACTTTCTCTATGTATGTGCAGAAATCTAACTTATCACTTTCTTAAGGGAAGGAGAAAATGCATGAATATTTAATTATTTTGCTGCCAAGAGGGGAGGGTTGAGAGCAAAATGAATAAAGAGCTGGATTTTTCTTTTCAAAGGCCATGGTGGGATCCGACCGAGGCTTTCGGATTTCTCCCTGTCCTCCCGCCCCGCCTCGTGTCAGATCGGGGGCCACAGCTGTCGTGTTCCCACTGCCCCGGCATCTCTAGTTTTGGGAATGATCAACCGTAGGCGAGTTTGGGTAATTTCCGGTTGGTTGTTCAGGGCTCCTTGGCATTTTTGTTTGGCTTGCAATAAACCTAAGAGAAGAGGGTGGGGAAAGGGGAGGTGAGGTCCTAGCACGTCTTTGGCAGAAGAATTGCCGGCCAGCAGAGGAGGAGGGCCTGTGGCTGATGAGGCTAGAACATTCTGCAATGTGCAAGCCAAAAAATTCCAAAAGAAACATTCTGTAGTTTCCAGCCTGTAAGAGGAGGAAGAGGATTTCCTCTTTGGGCGGCTTCTGGGGGCTCTGGGGAGGGCCCCCATCAGTGGCGGCCCTTCTGGCGGCCAGCACGGAGGGGCAGCGGCAGGGGCGGGGGCAGGAAACAAGGTCAAGAGTCTGAGCAGGACCAAATTTGGAGAAACTCAGGGCCAAGCATTTCATCCCAGGCAGGAATAGGCCTCTCTATGCAGGCAGAACATCCTCCCCTAATGGTGGTCCTGGGGAGGGCCGCCTCTGCTTCTTGGGGGAGAGGGGTGCTTAAACCAAGGCACCAAGGTAACTTCACTTTGCTGAGCAAGTTTCCGGGAGGGCTGCATGTTGGATGAGAACGACCGAAAGGACCACCTGCTGGGTGGGCATCACAGGCTTCCAGTATATTCCCTGCATCCTCAGCAGACCCTGCAAGGGCCTGGCCACTAGGCCCATAAGACAGATGTGGACCGAACTGATGCTTGGAGAGGAAAACGGTCTGGCCCAGGCTCCTTACATACAAAGAGCCACCTCTTTCCCCATTAGATAACTTTAAGCTGAACTATTATCTTCTTAATAACAACAGTATGCCAAACATAAAGGCATTCTATATAAACTGTTGAACATAAAATAATGGGGAATTCAAAATTTTCAGAATAACCTTTAGGAATAATTAAGACAATTGTGCTACGCCAACTTTGTTATAGCGAGTTGGACAGAACATTGGCAGAATTGATGTGCCACTAGCCTGTCTTTCGCATCAATAAAGCTATAATAAAAACACAATAATGTCTTTGTGTGAGCAGCGTCCCCTTAGATATGGCACCTTGAGCAATGCACAACCTAAACAACTGAACACAGCAGCCCTGATGAATAAGCAGATTCGGACTTGAGGCTGTCTTCCCAGAGCCTGGGCCAGGCTTGTCCCGTGGCTTGATTGGCTGATTTGGCCCCATCCCAGCGTCTAACCGCTAATGATAGAGAGCACAGATGAACCCTAGAGGAAGGGATAGAAGGAACAGAGGTGCAGGAATTAGAGACAGTTTGTATCACTCTCCCCGTGGTCCAGGCACAGGGCCTGGCTCCCAGTGGGCAGACTGACTGAATGACTGTAGGAACAAACGCTCAGCCCACCTCCCCTCCCCTCACTTCTTCTTGTCTGTGTCCCCCTCAGCACTGAGCTCAGGGACGTTGGCCAAGGGAGGGGCCACAATCTGAAACCCCACTGAGCCAGGGGAACAGAAGCCAGTTCCCACGGGCCCTGGGACACAGTGAGCTGTGTCAACGCCACCGGCCAGAGCCTCTTGTGATCAGGGACAATGCTTGGCCCTCAGGCCCGAAGGACATCCCGGGGTCTCCGGAGGCTGGGCCGGTCCTGCCAAGTGCCCTGGCCTTCTGCCCGCCCGGCGCTGCCTGCCGAGGGCGGGGCCCACCTGGCGACCCCTTCCTTCCAGCTGCTGGCTCCGGGGGTTCCGGCCACACCTTTCCTGTGGCTGCCCCTTCTCTTCCCGGCCCCCGCCCTGCTGGCCTGGCCGCTCCAGTGTCTGCCCGCCACCACCCCTGCCTTCCTAGAATATTCCCCTGGGGCACAGGCCTGGAGGTCTCAGCCCCCAAGGAGGGGAGGGAGCAATGAGGCCTGGTGGGGGGTTGACAGCTCTGGCTTTGTGCAGCTGACTCATGTCACATGCTCGCTGAGGGTGGTTTTGAGACAGAGATGCTCATCTGTGTCATGGCCATTGTGTGGGTGCCCTCCACACTCACTCAGGCCTCGCTCAGCAGTCCTTGGATAGGCCAGTGTCATCATCCCCACTACACAGATAGGGAAACTGAGGCTCTGAGAGGTTGAGTGACTTGAGGAGGTCACACAACTTTTACCAAAAGTGGGCAAGGTCTGAGCCCAGGCATGTTTGCCCCCAAATTGGGAGGGTCTAACCACTCTACCAGCCTGCCCTGTGGACTTCAGCCCGCTCGCCCAGGCTGCATCTGGGATTCTCACGCCCGGTGGAGATGCCTGGGACTGTGTTGGAATCAGAGAGAACATTCCCCACCCCCACCCTTGCCAATTCCTGGCTCCAGTAACATCCAACAAAACCGCCTGAACAAGCCAGAGAGTTGAGTGGACTTTGCCCAAACAGCGGTTCTTACAGGGGAGACCAGGCTGGTTGTGCTGCTTCCTTCTGAAGTTTCTCCAGGACAGTCGGGGGGGGGTGCGCGCATGTGCACACGCACGCGCACGCGTGTGTGTTACCACTTACGCCTGGAGGACAGATGTCTCCTCAGAGCCTGGATGTCAGAGCAGAGATGGGAGCAGACAGTGGGAGGGGTTGGAAGGAGAAGAGAGGAGAAGGCAGGCAGGGAACATAGTCAAGCCACAAGACCAGGGGGGTTGATGAGAGAGAAGGCATGGCTCTTCAGGTGGGGGTTCCCCAGGGCCGAGGGATGGGTCTGCCTGCAGATCCCGGATCTCCAGCCCTGTCAGTGGGAGCCACGGGTGCGGAGGAGAGAGAGCCTTGGCTCCGGGGTCAGGAGAGCCTCAGTCCTGCAGTTGTTAGCAGTGGTGTTCCTGGGCAGATGTATCACTACTCTGACCTTCAGTCTCCTCATCTGGAAAATGAGCAAAACATCGTTCCTAGCTTGTGGGTGGTTGTGAGGAATAGATAAGCTATCAAGAGGAGATTAGGGTGCTTCTTGGTGCTCATACACATTAGAAAAAAAAAGTAAGACCGTTCAGGCCACACCAAAAGGTCAGTTTGAGGGTTGGGGAAAGAATTCTCTATTTCCTCCAGGGCCTGGCCTTGGTTTGGCCCCACTTCCTGTTCCAAACTGGCCGGTCAGGCCTGCCCTGATTTAACCCCTCCCCTGCCCAGAGTCACCTCAGCTGCTTGGCCAGGGCCTAACCTGGCCCAGTTGGTTTGATTAGCCTCAGCCTGGATTTTAAGGCAAAACTCGGTCTCTCCCCTCACAATCCGGGATGGCCCGCTGCCCACCCTGTGCGGCTGCAGCGCTGCAGCCCCTCCAGTGCTCCGGCTTCATGGTGCTCTAAGGCCCCAGGTCAGTGGGTCGCTCAGCATGGTCCGTCCACTCCTACTCTCCCCGCAAGTTGAGCTCAGGAACCGGCACTGGGAGGAGCCGCAGCCCCCTCGAGGCCGCTTCAGAAACCCTTTGCCCAGACCAGCACGCTCTGCCGCCCACTTGCTGTGCGAGCTCCGGACCCCATCTCCCTGTCCAAGGAGCAGTTCCAGTGACCTCAGACATCTTTCCAGCTCCACCTCTCACAAAGTCCACCTTCAGGGTGGTACTTCCCTCCACCTCTGTCCACATACAGAAGTCTCAGGGAAGGCTTTTGATTGGTCCTGGTTAGGTCACATGCCCATCCTTGCACCAATCACAGAGCTAGGAGAAGGGGTGAATGTGATCAGTCAGGACTGGGTCACATGATCTCCCTGGCTGCCAAGGGGCAAGGGCAAATTACTGTATTTGTTACCTCCCCCCACCCCCCAATCTTGGGGTTTGAGTGGGAGAAGCCACTCTCCCAGGTCAGGGATGCAGTTCCACGGGGCAGGGAGTGGTGCTGTGGGGAAAATCCAACCGCCAGATGTCCACAGTCAGGGTAAGTCCAAGGTCTGGTGGGAGCAGGGTGGGACAGAGCCGAGTGGGCGGGACCGGCAAGGGGAATGCATGGGGACCCCACCCCCTTCCGCCACATGTCCAAGGAGAAGGGGTGCAGTGAGATCCCCTGTGCAGTCCCTGTGCGGCGGCCCTGGTGCCTCCGGCCTCCCTTCCCTGCCGCCAGAGCACACATTGCAAACATCTGCCCTGCTGACTGCTGGGGGTCGCCCTCCTGGAGTTTCCTGCTGCTGACAGGAACCGTTCGCCTTTTTATTACCCGCAGCGCACATCTGGGAACACTCTCGGATCAGTCTGGCTAAGCCGTGGGCTGAAGAGCCTACTCCTAGGCCAAGCTCATGGGAGCGGGGGAGTAGGGGCTGCGGTGGGGGCAGCGTGAGTCTGGGAAGCGCCTCCCCCCCACCTCGAAGCTGTCCCATGTGACTGGCCTCCTGGACAGCGTCCACAGAGGGGTTGTGTAACCAGCCTTGTCCAGGAGGGAGGGGACCGCCTGGGCCCAGGGTGGGGTCCCACCAGTAAGCCTGGCCTGCCAAGTCCAGAAATGGGCCTCAGGGGTGGCTTTGGGACAGGGGACAGTGGGGCTTCTCTGATTAGGGGTTGAGGTGTTAATTCT